TGTACATTCCCAAACGTTTCGCCGGCATCGTCAGTGAGTATCGCCATTCTTAGCACCATACAACAACTCGCCAAAGAGGCAAGTGAAGCTGATCCCTTGATCAAACGTGTGCTAAACACATGTGGTATCTCCCCTTCTGCCCTGGGTTATTCACGTTTTCGGTAGCATCCTATCATGCCTTCGCTAATACAATTTTTAACGTGTTTATTTAAATATAGCGTGCTGTGCTGCTTTTGAGCGACATGAAACCTTCCCACTCGAACCGTCGTTCTCACCCCCCACTTCATCCTTGTGCAGGGAATGTTGATCAGAGTCTGCAAGAGTGAGACTGGGATAAGATTAAGAAAGAGGACGACATAATAATAAAGCAGACTCTAATCAACATTCCCTGCACAAGGATGAAGGGGTGCTGAGAACTAGAGTTGGAGTGTGAAGGTTTCATGTCGCTAAAAGGAGCACACCGCACTATATGTAAATAAACACGGTAAGAATTGTATTAGTGAATGCATGATAGGATGCTACCGGAAACGCGAATAGCCCAGGGCAGAAGGGAAGATAGCACAATTGTTTAGCACACGTTTGGTCAAAGGATCGGCTTCACTTGTCTCTTCGACGAGTTGTTGTAAGGTGCTAAGAATGGCGATACTCACTGACGATGCCGACTATAATGCCGGCGATGCGTTTGGGAATGTACCACGTCCACGGTTTAACTTTGGAAATGATCATGCAGACAATGGACTCCAGACTGGGTGCGTTCCTCTAAGTCTTCCTACCAATATGACCATGTTGCGAAAACAAGGTCAAACAACTTCTGTACTAATTCTAATAGGGTCAGGTTGTTATAAGCTAAAATTGTGTTTAAACAAGATCCCATAGCCAAACCCCGTGTCTACTCATATTACTTACCAGTGAAAGTAAAATATGTGTTGTACAATACCAAATTTACTAATGTGATGAATGAATCTTTGCTTGACCTTTTAACTATAATGATTTCAGGATATTGATCTAGAGTTAATTCTAGCGCCTTCATAACCTACTTTATCGCAAAGACAACTGGACAATTCTATTCGGTTCCTGATTTTGCCTTCCTGTCAGCTTGCGAAAAAGTTGTGTGATATACTGAGGAAATAGAGTATAAAAACAATGTGTAAAGATAAATGAATACTTTTTTTAGAAGTTTATTCGTTTAGAGAATATTCACACCCACTTTCTAGATCAGGCTGATACAAGGTTTCATGCTCATATCGTAAGGTCTATGTGGGGGGACCTGCTGATCCATTCAATAGAGACTATACGAAAATAAAACAGCTTGTAAAGGTCTGTGGGCCCAAAAATCTGAGCTCGCAGAATACACGGCCAATACAGGAGACTCAATAGACCGGTCCAATGTAGATAAAGGTTGAAGTAGCCAACCAAATCATGTGATGTTTCATTAAGATCGTCAAGTTGTGTGTATAAAAAGGCGACTAGGGTTGCAGCCAGCCACCTTTTCCATTTTTTTTAACTATATTTTGCCCTATTTCGTAAAGTATGGAATCATGCTTTGATGCTGTCTGTCACAGAACAGACAAAAGCTTACACAGTTTCAACAGGGTCGCAGGATGGTGAGCCAAGAACTTCTCTACCCAACTCAACAGTCTTCCTTCGATTTCCGATGAGATCACCTGATGAATTCCTTCCAACCAACCTTCCCTTCGAAATGGAGAATCATGCCATATTATTTAATCAAGGAATTCTTAGAAACCCAGTTTTTCTTCATATCT